CCCGCGGTCTGGCTCGTGTTTGAGTATGTGCACAGTAACAAGCATCCCAAGAAGGCGGGGCCGGCCGTGGTGGGCGGAGCAATGGAGAATGAGAGGAGACTATGCTTCTGCTAGGACCCGGAAGTTAGTGTCTCCTAGGTGAACAGTGACGTCGTAATGAGCACAGGCACGTGCTGGTGAGAGGGTCGCGCGGGCAGGCATTGGAGCCGCATGATCGAGTTATTGTCGGGTTTTAGGTGGACGTGAGCCATCTCCCTGGTTTACAGATGGATGTCTTCCTGCTGCGGCCTCACATGGAAGAGAAACACACAGTGTTATCTCTCCACTCTTCTTAGTAGGCCACTAATCCCATCATGAGGGCCTTCTCTCATTGACTCATGTATCTCCCAAAGGCCCCATGTCCAAATAACATCACGCTGCGGTAACAGACTTCAAAGCATGTATTTAGGGGTAGACTAAATTCAGTAAAGAGGTAAATAGAGGGAAGTTCAGAAAATGGGCTTTTGGTTTATGTAAGCAGATTGAACGTTATTGGTTAGATGGTGAGCAAAGTTCGACAGGGAAGAGAGGTATAATTTCAGAGTGGCAGAGAGAAGAGACACTGAGGTAGCTGTATATTTGCGTGGAGAAACAAAAAGTGATACCAGGACAACCATCTGGGAAATCGCCATAATTATCAAGAAAAAAGAAATGAAAACTTTTAAAAATTGGCCGTGAAAATTAAAAACAATGCTTTTAAACAAGAACAGACTCAATTAAAAGCTATAAATTAGGCATTCTATCATGATAGAAACTGTGTGTTGGGCAGCTTTATTTCCCCAGACCTTACAGATGTTCAGTGAATATTGGCTGGAGAAATGAGCACAACCTTGTGAAAAGTCAGGTTCTGAGAATTGAGTTTTCCTAAAACTTCATATTAATTTAAAAAGCTAACTTAGCTTATGAGAAATGATGCACCTATATATTTATTGTTCAAACATGGACACCCATGACAAGAAGAGGTGCTCTGAAAAATTATGGAGGGACAACATGAATACTCGAGAGCTTATCCCTGGCTAAGGAGGATACATAATCAGATGACCTCAGGCAGTTTTGTACATTATAAAAGGGCCTATTCAGAGAGCTTGCATGTCTCAACCAGTGGAGTGGCAGAACAGGAAGCATCATTCCTTCTTCGGTGCCATTCAATTATTGATGAGTTGCATAGCTTTCTGTGTACAACCAAGTTGCTTCTTTCTTAGTGGTTTTCAAGAATTAAATTTAACATTGTGGTGTTCAAAACATGTATTTATCTTTTTTTATGACTTTTAACCATGGGTCTTACATATATAGTGTGTAAAAGATTCAACAGGCTCGTAGAAATTCAGGGAGACAGTAAATGAAAGAATATAACTCATGTTCACATTTGAAATTGTTATGTCCTTTTCAATAAAATTTCATGAATGGGATATTAATTTGTTGGTGCAGGAATGAATTCACAAGTTTTTCCCTTAAAAACATCATATTTTCAATATAAGTTCATTTATCCTAAGGATTATTTTTTTCCTTTCTTCTTTTTTGACTTTGCTTTATGAGAAACTGCAAATATAAAAATGTATATCTAAAAATGTGAAGCAGTTTTCATATTTCAAGAATTAAAATAAAATATGAAAAATATGACAAGAGTATCATATTCACACCTAATAATTCCCTAATATCAATTGAAAGAGTAACATGAAATCTCATTAATTGCATAAAATTTAATTGTGAGAGGTAAAAGACTCCGTTTCATGTGGAATATGTAATGTGGAAATACACTTCATTTTGTCCATTAAACATAGGAGAGTGTAACCTTGAAAATATTGTGACATTCTCTGTCTGTAGCTGTGTCTGAAAGGTAGTTTCAGAATGAAAAGTAAGTGCACAGTTGCCAAAATAACTTTGGATTCTAAATTGCTGAAACTCACAAATTGCAGCATTGCTTTTCTAATCAGATGCAGAACAGCATATGCCGTAGACAAAGTATCAGGACTCAAATAGAACACAACGTCACTGCCTTCCAAAAGTGGTGAGCTTCCTGGCTTATGAACACTCTTTGGAACAGTGTCCTCTTCTGGGGTGATCCTTGGGGTTTTGTGAAGCATCAAGGCACTCCCGCAGTCAAGGCCAATAACCAGGCTTTCAGCTGTGTCCTGTTATGTCCCTCACCCTGTGCTTCCATCATCCCTTAGCCTTGATTGGCCATCCCAACACAGCCACATGTATCCTTTGGAAAATCATGTTTGCGGTCATATTGATGGTGGTGTTTCTACTCTGTAGCAAGTGCCAACACTGTGGATTTGGCTTTCAAGGGAGAAAGATGAGACACTGGTTGGTATCAGGAGCATCCTACTCTGACACTGCCATCTCCTCCTTGATTCACGTGACTCTTGGTACAATCTGACAGGCAATGAATCCACCCTTCCACTCAGGTGGATACATTATCTGGGCCTGGATATGTTATCTCCATACAGTCAGGGCTTGGTCACTGATTGCTGCTTTCCTGTGATACCTGGACTCTGAGGAGTTTCAACAAGAATTTTCTGGACAGGAGGTTGCCAGATAATTTAAATGAACTGTTTGGACTGTTCCGTGCCAGTGTATAGATATAAAAATAACTTTCGCATGTTGCTTTTTGCTCTACAATGCTGGCATAAAAGAGCAGTTGACAAATTAGGATAAAGAGCATATTATCTGAGCAAGAAAGCCTTGACTGGAATAGTGATGCTAACTTCATTGCTTCCTATGCTTGTATTCTGACAATTTACCTGAACATATTGGCCTCATTAGACTCATTAAGGAGATCTATGATAAAGTACTACATATTAATAGCTTGCTAAGGAATAAGTAAATTTATATATTTTAACTGAAGTATATAATGGAAAACAAGTGTCTGATAGATCATAGGAGATACTTCAGTGTTCAGGGAATAAGAAAGGCAAAAACGAGTCCAGCAGTATGGGAGTTGGCCTCCCCTCACCACAAGGCCAAATCTTATGCTGTTGAAGAGAAACATGTCACACATCTGCAACATGAAACAATCCTCCTCGATGATTATGATGGATCAAGACAAAAAACAACGGTGTAGAGGACATTTTGTCTGGGAACAGTTCCTTGTTGTTTTTCTCAAGAACATGCCTGTGGGCTTGCATGCGAGTCCAGGGCGCCCTAACCCTGCAAACAGGAGGGGCTAGAGAGTTCAGATGCAAACATCTGCTTGACGGAGACGAAACAACAAGGAACGGGATGTGTTGAGTCGGGACAGTGTGGGAATAAAGAAATTGTGGTGGGACAGCTGCCAAACAGGCTGTGTTAAAAATAAACCGCTATAGCACGAAAGGGCTGCAGTCTTGTACCGTCTTTGTGTGTGTGTGTCTCTTTGTCTCTGTGTTCATTCCTCGTCCCTAGAAACGGGCTACGTCACAACGGCATTCTGTAACCATGTCTCTAAAACTGGTTAGTATCAGGACATTATTAATGAAAAAATATTTTTTAAAGAAAAAGAAAAACCAGTGGAAGAGAACATATTCCAAGTCATAAAAAAGACAAAAATTGCCCTCTTCTCAATTATGTGACTGACTGGTATTTCTCATTCTAGATGAGAACTATTGTGATTACCAAGGATAGAACTAAGTTTACCTCTTCACTGCATACAATACGGAAAAATGACTTCCTTCCTTGAATAGAAGGGAATCAACCTAAAATAAGAACAAATCCTATCAGTAATTCTTCTGAGCACTCTTACTGATACAGCACACATTCATTTATGGTTTGTGGTCATAATTATCACTACAATTTATTACACCCTTTTTGTAACAGGTATGGTCTTTAGCAAGAAGGCACACACAACAATATGATTTAACTTTTGGTATTATGAGTACATGAGACATTACTATCAAGATAAAAGTTGTAATTATATAAGCATGAAAAGTAAAATTTACATGAGAAAAAAAAATTCCTGAAGTTGTATGCACATGATAATATGGACCTCATAATGTCTTACAAATAACTTGCCAAAATTATAAACTTGATCTGATCCAAGACTGAAAACAGTTAATAACCTATTTCTAAGAAACATGCACAAAAATCCTGTTTGAATAAAAAATACATAGTGTTTTTAATCACATACAATCAAACATAATTGAAATTAAACTGACACATTACATTCAGCTGTGACAGGAAACACCCACAGTCTTAAAGATATGAAGATGCTTAATTCTTACGTGAAAGTACAAGGTGAGACCAGTCACCATATAGAGGAACAAGCTCCCATCTAGTTGGTTTTGATGGCAGCATTGTCGCTGTCATGCTGAATCAAGAACACAGTCATTACCAATATGAACAAAGGTGCTTACTATACAAATTAGACCTTATAGCAATTCACTTTACATACCAGGGAAGTCAGAGTATCAGAGAATATATTCCCAACCATGACAGTCTAAATTGGTTGCCTAGTACACACATTATAATGTCTGAAGAAAAACCACAGTGTAGATAGATATCTAATGTGGGGCTGGGTGTGGTAGTGCACACCTGTAATCCCAGCTGTTCAGTAGTCTGAAGCGGGAGGATCACTTGAGGCCAGGATATTCTTCATTGGCAAGCCAAAGAATCAGGAAAAATGGGCTGGAAACAGGTATCTGCACAGCCTGTATGAATCTAGCTGTCTCCCTGGATGGTGTCTCCAAACCGTAACTAATGCCTTCTTCACTTCTGACTTCCAAATCTCATGGTAGATAGTTACTGGTGAATTGTATCAAGGACTCATAAATGCAATGGATTCTGGGAAATTTAGTTCCTAACACTACCAACACTGACATAAGACAATCCAGAGATCTAACTCTAACTCTAGATTTTACTGTTCTATCACAAGTCTCTCTTAATTCAAAGCCGATTATCTCTTATCTCTTCCTCCACTGTGAATCTTTTCCTGTATTCCAAAGAAACTGAGAGGATGGAAGGCTTTCCCAAATTTCTTACTTTCATAGAGTTTCGCTCAGTGTAACTCCTTTCATGCTTATGAAAGGAACTGGGACAACTGAAGGGTTAGGGTTAGGGTTCTCATAGGGTTTCTCTCCGGTATGAGTTCTTTCATGTATTCGATAGTAAGTGGATCGACTGAAGGCTTTCCCACATTGCTTACATTCATAGGGTTTCTCTCCAGTATGAGTTCTTTCATGTATTCGAAAGTAACTGGAACGACTGAAGGCTTTCCCACATTTTGTACATTTATAGGGTTTCTCTCCGGTGTGAATTCGTTCATGTTTTCGAAAGGAACTGGAACAACTGAAGGCTTTCCCACAATCCTTACATTCATAGGGTTTCTCTCCAGTGTGCGTTCTTTCATGTATTCGAAATGAACTGGGAAAATCAAAGGCTTTGCCACATACCTTACATTTATAAGGTCCGTTGCCAGTGTGCTTTATCATGTGTCTTCGAACACTTGCAAGACAAGTCAAGGCCTTCCCACACTCCTTACATTCGAAAAGTTTCTCTCCAGTGTGAGTCCTTTCATGACTTCTAACAGAACTGGCACATCTAAAGGCTTTACCACATTGTTTACATTCATAGGGTTTCTCTCCAGTATGAGTCCTTTCATGTATTCGGATGTACTTGGAACAACTGAAGGCTTTCCCACATTGCTTACACTCATAGGGTTTATCTCCAGTGTGAGTCCTTTCATGTATTCGGATGTAACTGGAACAACTGAAGGCTTTCCCACATTGCTTGCATTCGTAGGGTTTCTCTCCAGTGTGACTTCTTTCATGTATACGAAATAAACTGGGATAATCAAAGGCTTTCCCACACACCTTACATTTATAAGGTACACCGCCATTGTGCGTCACCATGTGTCTTCGAATGCCTACGAGGGAAATGAAGGTTTCTCCACATTCCGTACAATCATAGGGTTTCCCTCCAGACTGAGTCCTTTCACGTACTGGAAAGGAGTGGCGATAATTGAAGGCTTTCTCACACTGCTTACGTTTATATGGCTTCTCTCCATATTCCTGATACTCACTTGGTTTCCTTCCACTGTCAGCTCTTATGTGCCTATTAAGGGATGAATGACTCATGCCAACTTCTCCACACACACTGCTTCCAAACGGTTTTACTGCAGGAGGAGTCTTCTCGTTCAGAACGTGATCTGGAATCTGGATGAAGGTTTCTCCACATTGACTATCTTCCTTACGTTCACACAGTCTCTCTGGAATATGACTCCTATAAAAAATAATCACATTATTAATGATGTGTTTATAAATGATTTTATATTTATTAATAGGTATTAGACTTATATTTTTAATATTATCTGGGAAAGTGTAGGTTTTATGCCCTGTCTCAATTGTTTGACCATGAATGGACTAAATGCTGCAAGACGTCATAACCATACCTATTATCAAAAAATGGTATTCAGGCTGGGTGCAGTGGCTCACACCTGCAATCCCAGCATTTGGAGGCTGAGGCGGGAGGATAGGTTGAGGCCAAGA